GCACAGAAAGCCGTTCCCCTCCATTTAAAAGCTAATAATTGACACCGTGAAGTCCTTCCAGTGGGCACTAGCAAAGGTTACACCAGCAGGGAATCACCGAGATCCAGACGCAGGAGCAAACCAGACATCTGCAGGCCATCTACCTCCCACTGGCAGCGTCCCACGCCGCGCTGCACGGCCAGAGCCGGCATTTCAGGAATGCTTCCTGCAGAAATGCTTATTCATGTTAACGCGTAACCACGGGAAGCGGCCTCGGCCCTGCTGCTCCGGGATAGCGCTCCACGCCAGCCCGGAGCTTGCTGCGGATGGAGCAGCTCTGCACAGCGGCAGCCGCACACCCGAGCTCCGGTCTGCGACGGGGCGGCCCCAGGAGCCCCCACAAACGCTCCCGTTGCCAGCGTGCGCAGCGGGAGGCAACTGCGGAATGGAGAAGTAGCTGTTACCCCACAGACCGCAGGGCTGACCCTTCCGCAGGCGCTGCGCTCACGGGAGGGAAGCTCTGGTGCCTGCTGTTAAATGGCACCAGGAACATGACTAAGAGCAAGGGTTCCCTTTGAAAGGCAAGCTGGATTCCCAAAGGCTCCTGGAAAACTGCCTTTTATGTAACATCCAAGGAGAGGCAAAGAGAGAGGGAGGAAGGAGGACAAAGTAGGTGTTTTTGTTTCATTGCAGTGGACTGACTCTCTCATAGCACAGCATTAAGAGCGCAAGGCCGCAGCAGTTTACCCCGTGCTAGCACACACAGGGCACCGAGCTGCCACCTGCTTCAGCATGACCAGTGGCACCGACGCTCTCCAACGAGCGGGACACAGGGAGCCACCCCCCGGGAGAAGAGCTCTTACCCATCCGCCGTTCTCTTGAATCCAGGGATCTAGATGGTCGGTCAAGTACGTGGTCATCCACGCTACAATGCGTCCCACCAATACCCGCATCTCCTTGTCGACGCTCTCCACGCACAGCGCCCCGCCGAAGGAGAAGAAAGCCACGATGCGACCCCAGTTGACGCCGTCGCGGAACAGTTCGTTCACCACCTGCTCGAAGCTCTGGTAGGCCGTGCCGGGGGTGATGTGCAGCTGCGAGGGGAGGTCGCTGAACCCCCGCTCAAACTCGTCGCCCGCCTCTTTCAGCGCCTGCCTCACGTCAGCGGCTGGGACAACCCCATGCGCTTCGGGGCTGCTCCGGTGCAGAGCGGCTCCGTTCACTATGTGGCTGCCAGGGGGGTGCCAGGACGGGCTCCCGTTGAGGACACCGTCCATCTCGGGCTCTCCTGCAAAGTCCGTCCTGTTCTCATCCTCTTCCTGCAGCTGGCTCCAGCTGTACCCCTTCTGCGAGAGCTTGTAGGAAACAAAGTCAATCACTAATTCCCGGTTGCTGTTGGACATTTTTCACACTAGGGAAACTCTCAATGAGTCCATGGTCCAGAGCACAAGCAGATCAACACACGTAGCAGGGCCTGACTCCTCTCTTCTTCAGGACTGATGAAAGCATTTGACCTCTGTGCAGACAAACGCCAAAGAAAAACAGGGAGGCAAGGAAGCGGTTAACCCTCCAGCTTTGAAATGCATTCAGGCCATTAGCACCAATAGCTTATCATTAAGCTGAGATCAGGAGGCAGCCACAGCCGGATCCAGCGAGCTGAGAGCCAACCCCCCTCCTGGGGGAGGCAGCCAAAGGCACCAAGGACCCTCAGCTCGGGGCCGGCTCCCCCATCCCCTCTCCGGGCAGGGCCCGGAGCGCAGGGAGGCAGCCCTGCTGCCGCCCAGCCCGTTAAAGGGCCCGGCCAGCCCGCGTTGCCCAACAGCAGCGGCTAGGACTGGTTCTGTGTCGCACGGGGCACTGCCCGTGCCCGGGCATCGCGGCTCCCGGGGGTGCAGCTGCCACCACTGCCACACGGCCCTGCTGCCTCCCAAACAGCCAGAAACGGCCCCCTGCCTTTCCTGAAATCCCAGCGGGAATAGCCTTGCTCTCCCTCAGGCAAAATAGGAGAAGGGAAACAAAAAAGAAAAAACGGATTCAAGATATCCTACAGGAGAAGCACATGAAGCCCATGCAGGAATTCTGCCACTGAAGGGACACACATGGTTACAAGTCAGTGCCACCTTTACAGTCTTCAGCATAGCCCTAAAACACTGCATCATGAAAAGCTGGGACAGAAACAACCCCAAAGGGAGTCTCCTAAATATAGCAGCCTGCTAGCTCCTGTGCTCACATGGAACCACCACTGCCTCTAGCATAAAAGGATTTTACAGTGTGATTTGTCAGAAGTCTCCCCATAATGCTAATAAAATGCTGCAGCTCCCACTGAGCTAAGCCCCCTCCCCAAGGAAGGGGACAGGCGTTTTTGCCACTGACACAACCTACATCCGCCTCCAGGCTCTTCACCCTGTGCATTTTTCCAGCACTCGTTTTTATTGAGGATGGCTTCTCCCGGCTCCGCTGCTGCTCTGTGCTAGGCCTGCGAGGGGAGGCAGAACGAGGCTGCTTCCCTTTAATCTTCCTTTCCACGGGGATCTAGAACAATAGGCAGGATGCACTGGTCCCCCAGCAGGATGTGGGCTGAGGGGGGAGCGTGGCTGCGTTTTGGTACTCACCCCCGTGAGGAAACTGTGCAGAAAGCTCCAGCCTGGGAAATCTTGGCTCCTTGGCCTGCTGGACCAGCTGCATTTGAAAGTTTGGATTAAAGTAATTTGACACTGGAAGAAGGCAACTCCCCAGCCCTCCCACACCGCTTCCCATCCCACCCCTGCCTCTCCCTGCAGGGACCAGAGGCTTCCAGGAGCTTCTCAGGGCCACAGCCGAGACCTTTTGCTCTTCCAAGATTCCCCTGAGCGTTGTCACCCACAGCAGCACGGGGAGGAGCGGCAGAGGAGCCAGGCTTAGCCTGCGCCCTCAGAGTATCCCGGCGAGGAAGGAGCCAGGAGCTGCTGCTCCCTCTGAAGCGGGAGCGTCCCAAGCTCTGCTGGCCTCGCCCGTTGCACAATTTATTTTTCTTTTGCTCAAACCCGGCCTCCTGAGTCAGCGCCGCCTAAGAGGAAAGACCAGCTCAGGGGCAGG